GAAATCAAAGATAAAAGAGTGGGGACAACAAGAAAACAACTTTTAACAATTAGTAGCCCTTGTTTTGTGTCTTTGATCTGACGCACTGATCCTCTAGCTTGTACAACGAGTTTCGTATATTTGAGTTTGAGATGCCCTACTGATCCTAATTTCTTAACACAAAGAAAAGCTTCTGCTCTAAATTTTGAAGCCCTAGTACTAGGTCTCCTATCAGGATCCGATTTGAAAATTAGAATTTTCAGATGTCTGTGCATCGACACAATTTTGATCATTTAGGAGGCAGGCTTCCTACACTGCCCGTCGGGGCCAACCCGGGCTGAGAAGAATACTGCAACCTCGCAGGAAGACTCATATACTCGCTAAAATTGTTCTCCTGGCTGGGTAATCGAACTCGGTTCTCCTGCATGCGATGACAAAGATCCTAACCGCTACACCATAGATGCACAGTGGCTGATGTGAGTAACAGACAAAAAAAGTTTCTTATCGTTAAGTTTTACGACACTGCCGTAACTGATGACACGAGGTTAGTTCTACTGAGAGGGAAAATAAACTGGGTTCTGTCTACTCATTTAGCCCAAATCTCCACGCCCTTCTGATATTGTTGTTGTTGTTGTTGTTGTTGTTGTTGTTGTTGTTGTTGTTGTTGTTGTTGTTGTTGAAATGGTTGAGTTTTATTCTGATGTAACATTCGTTCTCCTGATGTAAAAACATAAAAGAGCGTACATGTGCTAGAATTTGACCTCAGTTCATCAATTCATGAGAAACAGTTTCAAAAATACTCGTAAGACCAATTGTACGACGTCAGTTTGCCCAAAACGAAGCTTGACAATGTTGTGTGTTGGTGTGCGTGCAAAGGGTCACCAGTCACTTCGCTCGCTCACATTCACTTCTCTCCCGCTCCTTATGAGAAAAAAGATGTATAGACAACGAGGTGCTGATTGCAGCGGTTCAAAAAGTCCCAGCAATTATATTTATAAAACGAATTGACTGTATTCACATTAGCAGTGCATGAGCCAAATTTAGAAAGAAATAGGTGAGAAGCTGAACGTAATGATTATTCAATTTAAACATTCTCCAAGATTTTAAGAGCCTTTGAAAAACAGTTCCTCCTATTTTTATAATAGGCAAGATAGACATTAACCTCTTTCACTTTTTCCTACTCTTATATCCACAGGCTTTGTGTGGGGGGGGGGGGGGCAGGAAAATGTGGGGTAGGGGAGGGAGAAGATGAACAGGAAAACCCAACTAAATACTGCTAGGCCCGAGAATATGGTGATAGGGCAAATCTTCGACAAAAAGCGTATTCCTGCCTTCCATAAATCGTAATTTATAGGGGGAAAATAATTCATTGTAAGCTACTTTTTAGTTTGATTTTAGGTTTTTGGTAGAGCTATCGTCGTGCGTGGTTGGCGGGTGCTCTGGTGTGGTTTGCTCCTTCTTTCCTGTTAAACAACTATTGTCTTTATCTCTCCTCCTTTTTTATAGATGATTGTGAGGCAATAGGGATGAGGGTTGGGGGAGGGAAGGTGTTGGGGAAGGAAGAAAAAGATTGGGGTAGGGATTCGGGGGAGGGGTGGGGGAACGGGGTTTGGGGAAAGGGGGATGAAGGGGGTTGTCTGGGCAGAAAGTAGTGGACGGGTTGTGTGGGGAAAGAAATTTATGAGGTGTGTGTATGCTGCGTGTATATATGTGTGTTTTGTGTGTGTGTGTGTGTGTGTGTGTGTGTGCGTGTGTGTGTGTGTTTGTGTGTGTGTGTGCGTGTTTGTGTGTTCTCTTGCACAGACACAAGCACAGAGAGAGAGAGAGAGAGAGAGAGAGAAAGAGAGAGAGAGAGAGAGAGAGAGAGAGAGAGAGAAAGAGAGAGAGACCGTGTAAAAAATGAAATCTCAGTAAATGGGTGATACAGACAATGGTCCATCAGTCTTGACTGTCGACAGTCTCCCTAGAGCAAAGTACCGATTCAAATAAGACCCAGACCAAGAATAAATTCTTTGTCATCTGAAGAAAAAGCCCAGGAGAATTGTCGTTTAAAGATATGATTGTTGGCAGACAAAAAGAAGAAAAAGAGAAAGGAGTTACAATAAATTTTTAACTTTTCTGCACTACTAAACAACTTAGATCAATTTCGTAACGGTTTTGTTTTTCCTTCTTATAGTTTGTTTTTTGGGTTTTTTTTGTGTTTTTGGGGGTTTTGTTTGGGGGTTGTTTTGTCTTGTTTGTTTGTTGTTTTTTTAAATATTTTTGTTTGTTTGTTTGATTGTTTTTGTTTGTTGCTTGGTTTGCATTTTTTTGTCTGTTTGTTCGATTTTTTGTTTTGGGGCTTTGTATTATAAGGGTGGGGAGGGGGTCTTTTTTCTGTAGGAAGTGATTTTTTTTCAAAATGTTGCTTTTAAATGTTGTTGGTTTGTTTGTTTTTTTTTTGGTTTGTTGGGGTTTTTTTGGCGCTTGTTTTACTCTTTATCCAATGAAAATAGACGCTAATAAGTGCCGTTAACCGTACATGACAAGGTCGTTATTTTTGTTTTGTCTCTCTGGCTGCGGAGCCATTGATTGATGTGTCACTGACGCTCATATGACCTTATGCAGTTGCGAGCGCCGTAAAAACTCTACTTTAAAAAAACGATATGTCACTGACAGCAGTGTTTGTTTGCTAAAAAAAAACCCTGCACGTCACAGTTCCCTGGTGAACGTATCAATCTGCTTAATATGTACCGTAAACCATGACTGGATTTTGTGATGTAGCTGTTCGGCGCTTTGACTGTCGCACGTAGGAGACCCAAGTTCGACTCCCGAGTGGGGCGAATGAATTTTTATCAAGAATATCCGTCTTTTCTGCTGGCTTGATGATTTATCCTTCTGAGCCAGGGCTGGCCCTGACAGGCACTTGTCGGAAGACCGCCTCCTAAATGATCTTAATTCTGTCGATGGTGGCGTAAAAATACCTACATGTAAGCACAAACAAATACAAACATACACACACACTCAAACACACATACAAAAACATAAATACATACACATACACACACACACACACACACACACACACACACACACACATACAAAAACACGCACACACACACACACACACATACACACACGCATACACATACCCACATACACATGCACGCGGAAATAGATACACGCATGCGTTGAAAGCACTAGCATAATAAAAGTGTCTGTTTGAAAGTGCATTCGCACATTGTAATACTCTGCCATTGAACCCCCACTTAGAAAAATTTCTTCCTGCGAGAGGAAGCAATTTTGTTTTCTTTTGCCTTGGCAATTTCTATCAACATGCGCTTTTGTGTTTTGTACTTTCATCAAACTGTGTAGCTGTTGGTGAATAAAGACTGTCATTGTCATTGATTGCCATTGTCATTGCTATTGTCATTGTCATTGATTGCCCTTGGTGTTATTGTCATTGCCACTGCCATTGTCATCGTCAGTGTCATTGTCCTTATCATTGCCATTACCATGGTCATTGCTATTGCCATTGTCACTGTCATTGTCAGAAATACTCAGACACAATGTGGCAGTGTGTTATCGTTCTGTCTTTTATTTAATTTTCAAAAACGACCACACATAGCTTAGTAGCTACACAAGAAGGGCAATCAAAATCTAGGTACGGTTGAAAATACTATAAATAAAAGTTAAAGGCCATCAGATCTCGAGATTTTCCTACAAGGGGAATTTACTCATACTGATACAGTTTATGTTTTAATTTGTAAGCTTTATACAGGCAAAGATTACATCGGTATTTATAGCAGTTCTTCAAGATTCGGCTGCTTTCTAAGTTGTTCAAAGGACACTCAATCGCACATTCACCATTGAGTACAAGCATTGGAACTTGGAATAATTGAAACATACACACAAACGTAATTACACACACATACAAACACACATACACATACACACACACACTAACACACACATACACACACATGCACACACAAACAAAGACATACCATACACACATACATATCCACAAGTACACACGCACACTCTCTCTCTCTCTCTCTCTCTCTCTCTCACACACACACACACACACACACACACACACACACACACACACACACACACAAACACATACAAACACATACGCATAAAAAATCTCTCGCTCACACACATACATAATCATGATGAAAACAGATCATATTTTATGCTTTCTGCAATTGAAACCTTCCACCGAAATGGCTATGACTAAATTAAAATTTGAATAGATATACCACAGAAATATTTTTATGGGGTGTACTCTGCCATATTATATGTGGCTATTGATGGACAGCAGTTCAACGTTGGGGTGTCAGTTGACCGTCAACAGGAAAACCATGCACAGCTGTTGCGAGCGGTTGAAGCCGGATAGCAATGCTCTAACGAACAGTCAGACTGTTTTCAAACCACAGTGGTTGGAAGCACTCGACGACGTGACAATAACGATAATAAATCATATCGTCTAAGTAATACCATTTTTTTAAAGCTGGATATCTACTGTATTAAAAGCTCTTTTCACGACAAAAGTAGGCTACAATCATGGTCAAACGTCCATTGTTATTTTGAAAAATAGTACGTTTTTTAATGTTTAGAAACGGTGATGGACTAAATTTTGTTGCATTTGCATTACCGCCATTCTTTCAGGACAAGTTGAGGTTTTTTTATTACAACTGTTGCAAATATTGTGTCTTTGAACCTGTGCTCAGCAACCTTTATAAAGCCAAGCCCCACTTTTTCCGCCTGTAAATACTTTAACAGATTTTAATTTTCGTACTGCCCTCCTATTATGTATTCCTAAGAGGGGCGTTAAAAAACATCCGTAAATACCCTGGTGATCCTCACGCTCACCAAAATGACCAAATCGTCCATTTGTGAGCACTGTCTCCCAGGTTGTCAAGCACAGCTCTAAAAGCACGTACACGAGAACGAATTCTTCATTCAGCAGTCGCAATTCTTGGCCAACGCTCAACACACGGAGAGAAAAAAATAACGACGACCCGCACAGAACTAGCTCAATATAAAAACTCTATTGAACACGTCAAACTCTATCGTGTTAATAAATGATTATAATTATTTATTATACAGAGTGAGCCCTGGAAATTATTTTCCCAGATACTCAAGACGGAATACATTTAACATAGATACAAATAAATGTGGTATTATAGAACTTTAAAAAATCGAACTTCTGGGAAAAGAAAGCGCAAGCTTGCCTTTTTTTACGCAACCTGGCAGCTGCTAACAGCAAACTTTTTTGTTGTTAGAGTTAAAAAGTTCCATACATGAATGATTGTACAATTATGAGTGTGTCCGAAGAAGCAACGACAACAAAAAATTAATTTTAAGAGAATACATGACATACAATTTGTAGTGTTCGTTTGATAAACAAGAATTATTAGTTATTTTTTCCCCGTTGTCTTCCTTTTCTTAGGATGAAGGAAGTCGTCGACTCACAGAGTTGGCTGCAGGAAACTTTGATTCTGTCAACAACCCTGTGTGCGAATTAAGGCAGCTCTGTGGTTGTACTTGGCTGTGTGACCGCCCATGCCCGTCTAATGCACAGTTCCGTTCTGGGGAAGCGGTGGGAGGACAACAAAAAGTTTAAACAGGAGTGGTGATAGCTTGTGACCCAATACTTGTTGGTATTAAATAAAGAGCCAAAAATACTATGCTGACACAAATTTACAATTAGTCAGTGCGGATGTGTGTGTGTGTGTGTGCGTGTGTGTATGTGTGTGTGTGTGTGTGTGTGTGTGTGTGTGTGTGTGTGTGTGTGATAGTTTGTGTGAGTGAGTATGTGTGTGTGTGCGTGCGTTTGTTTGTGTGTGTGTGTCAGTGTGTGCGCTCCCGTGAGCGCGTGTGTGTTTGCTTTCTTTTATTTTGCTAAAAGCCTTATTTTGACTGTTTTCTTCTTTGTTTGCTAATGGGACTTTCACATTAGGGAGGAGAGGCCACTAATGGAGTCATGGTCGTTTCACCCGATTGTTAAAGAGAACCCGTGAAAGTAAAGGTTGAATACTCTTCACATTTAATTCGATGAATAATAGATAGCGTAAACTGACATAATAACTCAAAGGAAAAAAAACATTACCAAAAATGTCTAAAGAAAATGACAGAAAGTGAAAACTGTCTCGTTTTAACTTTAAGGGTTATTGACGTTTTCAGCAACACCTATAATGCTCAGAGAGGGAACACTCGCACCCTAGGGCTAAGTTTTGAACAGACGATCATTCACAAACTTATCCCTCGTTAGTCTTCCTTGTACACGTACAGTTTTTTTTGGTGGTTGACGGGTGCTCTGGTGTGGTTTGCTCCTTCTTTCCCATCAAATATTTATCGTCCATATATTATGTCCTCATTCTTTTCTTTGTATGTTATTCTCTGCCAGAATTGGTCTCATTGGCCACAGGAAAAAAAAAACACACCAAAAAATGATTTTAAATAGTAAATTATCTTAGTTCTTCTATTTTGTTGGAGAATTTATTCTCCTCTGCGGATGTGTTGGTCATAGTCAAACATTGACAGGCGAGCTATATTGTTACCATTACCATTATCTTTTTCATTCTTATCATTATCATTATTAGTATTGTTATTAGTATTAGTATTAGTATTAGTATTAGTATTAGTGTTATTATAATTATTATTATTGTTGTGTTTTTTTCTCTAATAACACCTCTAATTTCGGCACTTATAATAGGGATTTTGTTTTGCAGTTGCCGTAAAACTCCTACTAAAAACTTTCGTTTGATATCGTCTTACGTTGAGGAAGCCAGTCTTTTTCTTGATGGCCGCCAGGGCAAACCGCAGCTTGTTGCCAAAGTCCTGGTCTGCTTTCTCGAAGTTACTGACGGCTCTCTTCTGGATAGGTTCTTGGGCGTCTTTGAGGTTGTTGGCGATGTTCTCCACAAGGCGCTCTCTCTCCTCGGGCTTCAGAGTCTGCAGACAAACACAGTGGTTTTAACTTAGTTCGGCTTAACACTGCGTACAACCAGACATCAGACGGATTCAAAGGAAGAGGCAGACCGAGAAAAAGATGGATAGAGGGGGTCAGAGAAACATTAGATAACACAATAGAATGTGTCACGACATGGTGGAATCAGGCTTTCGTCTAGTTTTGGGCATAGATCTACATGTATATGGAGTTATTGGTATCATCTTAAAGCTTATTTGCTTGCTACGCTTTTTATGAAAAAAATACCCTTCTAACCTGAATAGAAGTCGAGATATTTGCAATTGGGTGAATGGGATGTCAGTTGTGAAATTAATGAGAAAATTGCCGTCAACGTTTGGTGACTTCCAAAGCTTCCTTGGAAACTGCCAATTAAAATCTACAAAATATTATTATGCTGTGCCTTTGATTTCTGTTTTTCCATAAATTCCACCAAGAATTGTGTTTTAATTGGGCATGGTAGGCGTTGAGCCCATTAAAAAAAGAAATGTATAATATTTTCCCAGCGAGCGGAAAATGAGCGTTTAATTAATTAACTAGGCTTTACAGTGCCCGAAAACTAAATCCCAAAGTCAAAATGTCCCTTTCATAAAATTGTCCCTCTCGCAACTGTAAAATAATAAGACACATTCTATCACCTCCGTGATGTCAACGGTATTGACTATAATTATATCTCCTTTGGGGTATATCAGGCAATCAAGGTCTGAAGGGAGGGTATAAAATTAGTACTTGCAACGATACAAGAGGAAAGAAAAAGTATCACTACCTGAGAATTACAAAGTTCTATCTGAAATTTTTGGACGTTTTGAGTTACCAAGACCATGAGATCAGAAACTAATTAATTTTCTAACCCCTCTATCAGAAAGGACTTTGTAATTCTAGGGTAGCGGTAAGGTAAGATGCGCTAACAATGGCTTAAACGAAGCCGGATAAAACTTTGAAGGATAGATACAATTTGAATGTGAATATTTTTGTAGCAAGAGACATGCCATAGGTCATTATTTCGGTCAAGGCCTCAAATTACCTTTGATGTGTTAACCAAACAACTTAGCGACGACACAATTAATCAAAACAAATTGTCCTCTTCACAGACTTTCCAGAAGCAATTTGAGCTTGTTTCATTTCCTTTGTGGGAAATTAGCACTATCAATGTCCTGCCCAGTCCATTGACAATATCAGTAACCTGGATAACGGTCAGTATGAACAGAGAACAAGTGGGAGTCGAATCCACCATGAACTACATCGAGAGACAACAAATCAAATGGTTTGGACACGTTGTGACAAAGAAGCCAAAAGAGCCAGCAACAGAGGCCCACAGTATGGAATTCGACGGTTTTAAGGCAAAGGCGATACCAGGAGAAATATGGATTGACGGAGTCAAAGAGACCCTCTAAAAGCACAAAAATATAACAATTCAAAAGCAGCACACAAGGGCTATGTCCGACAATTGCATCTCCCCACGACATATTGTGGTTCAATGGGGTAGAAAAAAAATATTAAAAGTAAGGTAATGCACTCACATTATTGTAAAATATTCTCGTCTGAGTGATGCACTGACCTTGTTGTAAAATATTCCCGTCTGAGTGAAATTGTCCTCGTCCGCAGTGGCGTAGCGGTCAGCTGTCCCGCTGAGGTTGATGGCCGACTCCAGGAACTTGCTCAGCTCTATGGGGCCGTTGAAGCTGTTGGGCCAGTAGTTAGGCGCTCCGCCTGGTTAGGAAAGCGATAATAATAGCGATAATATTAATAATAATGATATAATAATTAATAATAATAATAATAATATGATGATGATGATGATGATGATGATGATGATGATGATGATGATGATGATGATAGTTCGTCCGTTAATGTTTGACACTAGTGTTTGTGTTGTAGCGATTAGGGGCTTCGCTGTCGCATGCAGAAGGCCTAAGTTCGATTTCCGAGTGTGGAGACATTTCTACCGAGTATCTTGGTCTTACTGGTGGAATGTTGCATTTCTCTCAGCCCGGATTGGGCCAGAATGGAAGTTTGGGAAGCTCGCCTCCCACAACTGTATCAATGGGAGCATAAAAGCATCTGTATTTTATTTTAAGCAATCAATATCTGGAGGTGACCAATGTACCTTCAGAGGAGAATTTTTCACAGAAGAAAATTAAATTAGAATTAAGATGACCTATAGATTCTGCTTTTACAAATGAGACCAACAGTATGAGGGTAGGTAGGTGAAAACTGGTATTCTTGGAGATGGAGGAAGATGGTTAGGCAAGAGCAGGCAATGTGGACTGGATACATTCCAAGAAAAGATATGACAGTGAGAAGAATTGACCATTCACGCGAGGTGACAGCACGGTCCTACAAACTGTCGAAGAATAGTCGTAATTAAAGTTATGATAATATAGCATGCAGAATAAAGAGCTCTCTTCTCAAATTTGTTTAGCAATTCTGGTTGATAATAACTGGAAAAAATAATAACCTCTTTTCCGCTTTTCTGAAAATCATTCTTCTAGCATACACACAGCGTGGGTCGGAAAAATTCAGAAATAATTATATTATGGACTTTTTAATCAACACCTTCGAAAAAAAAACATGAAAAAGTCCTACTTCATATGTATACCTTCTTGTACTCAACTTACAGGAAATGATAGTCGACAGGACAACACTATTTTCCTTGCAATTGGCACGGCAACATTTAGTGTCCACTTAACAGACAGACAGACAGACAGACAGACAGACAGACAGACAGACAGACAGACAGACAGACAGACAGACAGACAGACAGACAGACAGACAGACAGACACATGTAGATAGATAGATAGATAGATAGATAGATAGATAGATAGATAGATAGATAGATAGATAGATAGATAGATAGATAGATAGATAGATAGATAGATAGATAGATAGATAGATATCAGTGCTGCCTACACGATATCCTTTAAACATTGCGTATCCTTACTAATGTATCTTACCCTACCAGACCGAATATTCCCAAAGTGTCGTATTATTATATAATCGTGCTATACCCGCAGAGTTGCTTGCTGGGAATGAAAACCCCATCTGGCCCATCCCAACTTAAC